TTGCATTTGTTGAGTTACATATGTATTTATTGCTACCTAAATACCTCAAAACATGCATTCTTTCTGTGAGCTGGCTTGCCTCTCCACAGATCTGCTTTGTAACTTGGTCTGGCTGTGTTGTCTGATTGTCTGCATGGCGATAGATACAGTAAGTTCACTTCCATACCTTGGAAAATTTCAAGCAACGCAATAATATTTCAGATGTCAGACCATCTTCCAGAAAGGCTAGGATAGTTCACCTTTAATGTTAAAAAATGTAATGTATTCTCAGTTAAAAAAATAAAATAAAATACTGAAACCCCCCATGTTTATACAGTTAATTTTATTCTATATGCAAAATATTCAGTGATAGCAGCTTGGCTCTTTGTACACCTTAGATGTGTTTGGCTTTCTGGTTTGTTTCCACATTTTGTTGACCGGATGCACTTCAGTTTGGTGTTATAAAGGCTTAAATTTAATACAACAAGGCATATTGAAATATCCACAGTACATCTGCCACTGGGCAAGACCTCTCTATCAGTGTTTTCTTAAGAGGTAAATTATGTACAAGTTTTTTAATATCATTCATGAAAAAATAGGTTGCATATAAATTACACAGACATACACAGGTGTGTTCTTCAATAGCTGTGTTATCCCTGATTCACAAAACATTTTACCAGTACTTTTATGGCACATGTGTTTTAAAACCTATATCACCAATGGAACAATTTAGGACGAACATTAAAAATACCAAGAATACTGAGACAACAGGTGGTCCCCTGGGGCAGTCCACAACTGGAAATATTAAAGCACAAAAATACTGTAAAAGCAACATTCAGTCTGGAGACAATTTAGCTTACCCAACTGTAGGCACCAATAAATATGTAAGGTCACAATTTATATACAAATAAAACAATGAAGAAAGTATTAATAATATTCCAGCAAACTAAAGTAAACTTAATAAAAACTGCATTTAAAGCTACCATCTGTAGATTGGCAGACCTGCTTTTATCCGTTTTTACTCTTAAATAACACCATGCATAGATCCTATCTACGTTACTGCTGTCTGATAGTGTGCCAGTTTTGGTCGGACAGAAGAAGAGCAGACAACACATGTGAGCCTGAACAAAGGCCAGGTGAGGAAGGGGATTTGAGATCTGCCATCTCCTGATGGGAAAAAAAAAACAACAACTTACAGATGGTAGTAAAATACAAAACTGGACCCCCCCATATTTACAGTTAATTAGATTCTATATGCAAAGTGTTCAGTGATAGCAGCTTGGCTCATTGTACACCTTATTTGGCTTTCTGGTTTGTTTCCACATTTTGTTGACCGGATGCACTTCAGTTTGGTGTTATGAAAGGCTTAAATTTAATACAACAAGGCATATTGAAATATCCACGGTACATCCGCCACTGGGCAAAAATGTTTTCTGGATCAAAAGTTGTTAAAATTAAAAGATGAGTAATGGTAAATCACATTTTTAAATAGCGCTTTCCCACCTTCAAGACACTCAAAACGCTTTACTTCAAGGAACCACTCACCCATTCACAAACACACACTCATACACAAGTGTACAGAGACACTGGGGGTGAGGTGGGTTAAGTATCTTGCCCAAGAACACAACCACAACATTCAGTGGTGGGAGCTGGATTCCAACTTGTGTGTCAGAGGGCAATCACCCACCAACTCTAAAAGACAGATTAAAGATATTCTATTACAATCAAGTTGTGATCATTAAGAATTGCATTTTTGAAACATTATCATTATGTTGCATTATAGAAAAAAGCCAAGTAAAATATGTATTCTTTGACCGGGCTCGCATGTCCACAGATCTGTTCTATAATAGATGAGAGTGATAGTGCCACCTGTTTTCCTCCACAGAGATAGATTAGTTTCATATATACACCATACTGTATAATATTTTGGGTAAAGTCATGAGGATAAGTAGGTGATGACCATCCAGCAGAAAAGTTACATAGTGCACCTTTAATATGACTATCCCATCTTTTCATTGTTCTCAAATTCTCAGCACTTTCTCCCTTTACAGTTTTGATTGACAGGCCATTGGTTAATTGCTGTTCATTTGTGCCTGTCAAAACTACAGCGCCCCTTTGAAGAGTTCCACAGTGTCAGTGCAATTACCCAGCCCAGTGCATTTCTCAGATTGACAGCTCATTGGTTTATATTGGGACTGTATGGACGTGTGAGTGGTGCTCTGGTCACTGGGAATCCCATGGTGCCTTTCTTCTCATGCCAGCAGCAGTGTTTATAGGATTTTCTCTCATTTTCCCCAGTGTTAATTTGTTTCCACCAAGACAGCTATGACACATTCTCTCCTCTGCTTTTGCTCTCAAACTGTGTGGCTTTTTTACAATAGTGTTGAAATGAAAGACAAGATTGACTCCAGTCTTTCTCCAGTTTTTATTCCGACAATGGGCATCAACAACATGGTCGACATCCTCACTCGTTATCGGCCACATTTCCAGCTATTGGATTTTTTATTTTATTTTTTCAGACATATTTAGACAGTTCAGACATAACTGAAGGTGTAGGGGACTTTTCGCTGCCAGGTTACTAAAGTTATTCAGGTAATGGTAAAGTGAATCAGCATGTATCTTATAGCTTGACTTGAAATATTCTAGAGCAGGAACGTCTAACACATTTCTTGGCCTCCAGGCTTCCAGGTGAATAGCCCACCTATTACCTCAAGCAGTACTTTTTACTGAAACTGAAACTTGAAAATCAACCTTGATAAAGTCAATAGCAAATATTTAGTGCATCTCAGTGAGGATGAATCATTATAATTAAGTATGAATTAAGGTCTGCTCATATTTGAATACATGCATCCCGGACTTCCAGTCACTGTGCAATACATACTGGGAAAGATCCTCTGAAAAAGTAAGCATCAATCCCGATCTCTCGCTCAGCTTTGGTTACGAATTTAAAAAGTTAACTCCAAAGCAAAAGGCACCAGCTGTTCGCCAAGAAACAACTTCCACCGCAAAGCGACTAAGACGTGATGTTGCTGTAAAGTCAGTCGAACAAGAAAGTGCACGTCTTGCTTAACAAACGGACTTTGCTTTGATGGCTCTCCACATACAAAATGTTCACTGCAAACTTGGGATGATTTCTTAGGCAGCCAAATGTTTCCTTTTTGGTCCTTCCTGTGTATCAGTACTGCCCATCGCCTTCACCTTTCACTATTTTTCAATTCCGTTGGGAAGGGAAACAGTTTGAACGGAGGTTTGCAGTCACACAGATCTGATTCCTTTTTGCAGTTATGGAGTTTGCAAACTTCCGAAGCCCGTTTTCCGCTGTTAGGACATCCAACAACCACACAATTACAATGTCTGAATCCCATAACTAAAATATGACAATATCAGAACAATAAACAAAAGCGATATAGTTTAAAAGATCAACTTTGACAATAGATGCATCCCACTGGGAAGTCAAACATCACAGTTTGATGATCACTTTTTCAGAGGATCCTTCCCAGTATGCACTGCGCAATGACCGGAAGTCCAAAATTTAGGATGCACATATTATTCCCTATATTAACCACCACTCTGGCTGTCATCTTTATTTTGGCATGTGTCCCTTGGTAGATTTTTTTATTTTTTTGACACCCCTGTTCGAGTGTGTGGCATTAAACTTATTTTCAGTCAAGTAACATTCACTGAAACAATACATGCTTTTGAAGATATTACTGAACACTAAAACACCTATATATGAGTATAATGCTGTATTGTGCAATATTCCAGGCAAAGCATCATCTCCATGGAAACAAGAAGGTGGCACAAGTTAAACAGGGCACCTTTAAGTTGGATATAGTGTAATAGCTTTTAGAGAAGATATATTTTTTAAATTTTATTTATTGAATTTTATTGATTTGTTTGTTTGCTATTGATTGATAGTTAGTGGTTAGTTAGTTTTCTCCAGTGGTTTTCTCATCATAATAATTAACATTGCTATTTCCTTTCATAGTCGTCCAGAAGCTCTTCCAAACTGATCAGTGCTGTGGCCTTTCTCATCCTCAAAATGCCCCCCTCTCCCCCCCTCCCTCTCTCTCTCTCTCTCTCTCTCTCTCTCTCTCTCTCTCTCTCTCCTCTCATGCTCTCTGGACCCTGGGGTCTGGGTCAGGCCAAAGCACTGTTTGTGTTGACAGTGTCAGACTTGGATCATCCGCTGCCACTTCACAAGGAAGAGGGAGGAAAAAAGAAAACTCTGAGAAACAAGGCATTTCCGGGCCTACGGCTTTATTCCTAGTGTAGAGGATTACATTACAGTCCAACACAGGGGTCGTGAATCATGTTGAAGAAGACTGCTTTGAACTGTACAAGATCTTTTGGATAGTTAATTGGTAAAACATATCTCACAAAAGGAGAGATAGGACCTCTCTGTCAGTGTAAGAGGTAAATTATATACAAGGTTTTTAATATCAGTCATGAAAAAGTAGGTTGCATATAAATTATACAAAGATACAAAGCTGTATTCTTTACCCGTGGTTCAATAGCTGTGCTATCCCTGATTCACAAAACATTTTACCAGTACTTTTATGGCACATGTTTTTTTAAAACCCGTATCACCAATGGAACAATTTAGGACAAACATTAAAAATACCAAGAATACTGAGACAACAGGTGGTCCCCTGGGACAGTCCACAACTGGAAATATTAAAGCACAAAAATACTGTATAAGCAACATTCAGTTTGGGGATAATTTATCTTACCCAACTGTAGGCATCAATAAATATGCAAGGTAACAATTTATATACAAATACAACAATGACTAATGTATTAACAATATTCCAGCAAACTAAACTGAACTTAATAAAAGCTGCATTTAAAGCTACCATCTGTAGTTTGGCAGACCCGCCCCTGTTTTAATTCTTAAATAACACCATAGATGCTATCTATGTTACTGCTGTCTAATAGTGTGTCAGTTTTGGTCAGACAGAAGAAGAGCAGACAACACATGTGAGGAAGGGGAAACAAATTTCACATCTGCCATCTCCTGGTGGAAAAAAAAACAAAACAAAAAAATAATAATTTACAGATGGTAACTATAGTTGTATAGGGACTGAGTCAAATTTTGGTCAGGGATATGGCTTTAGCACTGTAGGAAAAAAAAAATAATAATGTGATTCACCCAAGCATGGATAATCTAGCTCTAATCCAGCTCTAATATTACAGTATTGCTGATGAATTCTTGATTTCATTGGCTCTCAATACCAAACTAAAGCTTTATAGTATGCAGTTAATCGTTATACCCATTGTGACCTTTAATTTTATATGGTCACACTCTATTAGTCTCCCTCCTCTTCACATGAATTTTTAATCACCATAGTCTATTATTAACCACAGCAGCTCCTCCCACCTATCACACTGCGATCACCCTTCTTCGCTGGGGCGTCTCCATGGCGACCACATCCATCTCGGGACAGTCCGTTTGGCCCGGGTCAGAGGGGTTAACAGGGAGGAGCAGAGGTGGCTGATGGGACTTGGTGGAGGAGAGTGGGCGACGTAGGACCACAATCTGAGCGCTGTGTTCACGATAAAGCAGGTCAGTTAACTCGGCCTCTGTGGAGTTCACCACTGGGAAACCATTGACCTCCACCAACCTGCAAATCAATAAGACAGACGATGTGTGGCACTGTTGCAAACCAGTCCATAATTTATACTTGTCATTATGTCACTGATATAGGTTCACCAGATAAAATCATTTACAGCATTTGAAAATGATCTCTTCAGTATCCAAAGCATATATGTAGGAATATTACTATTAGTGATCTTATAAATAATAAACAGACTATAAAGCATTAAATCCCCATTATGCCATTTGAAATTCTGTGTAATTTTGTCTTTCCATTGTACTGAATTTGTCCATTATTTTCCACTAATTATATTAAACTAAATATATACTTCTTGCAAGATACCATTTTACCATGTAACATGTCTTCCAGTGAATAACATATGTCCTTACTGTGAGCAGGATTGCATCTCCACAAACCTGACTCTTATTTGGACTGGAGTAGTGTCACCTCCTGCTTTTTTCCACAGATGTTGTTCCTAGCTATCATATTCCACAATATGGCATAACAAATTTCAGTGGAGAACGTAACAAAGTAAGGTTTTAACTTTCTACTTCTATAGAATCATGCAGCTGATGTGCAACCTCCAAAAAAAGTTACATATTCTATCTCTTTTTTGTTTTTTTTTAATGGTTGACATTCTTTGCATTTAAACATAATTACGGTACTTTATTCCAGTAATTTAGAGAGTAGAATTGTCATACTTTAGCACCCAGTGGGGATATTGATTGATACTTGTGACACTGAAGCCAGAAGTATCAACTCAAACTTGAAACACACATGGTCCCATAAGAATCACAGTATTTCAAAACACATCTACAATGAACTGGCTGTTACAAAATGGTAAAACTTGCCAAACGAAATGCAATACATAATCGTGAATGACACCTTTGTTTGATTTATTGGCCCAGTTACAATGGATCATAAATAAACTTTTGTCTTGGATTAACATCAAACCATCTGATGTTAAAAACTGGTTTGTTTCCATGACAATTAGCCAATTAGTAACTTGACTAGTCCCTCCCTTATCCCCAGAATAGTTACATAGTGTTCTGCCAGCTCAGTCAATGGCTCATTGTCAGTGCCATGTGCATCCACAGGTCTGGAAGGGTTGTGTATTTTAGTGAGAGCTTTTCATAATGCTATAATTGCCTAATAATCCCAAAATGTTTATCCCTCTTTTCTCCTCTCCTACTGTTGTGTTTCTATGTTTTAGGATCAGGCTGTAATGGTTTCTATAGTGACTGTTTGAAGTGTTGACCAAGAGGGAGTGGTAAAGACACCAGGAGGCACGTGTTACTGTATATTCTGTTAATGCTAGACACGCCATACCACTAGAGGGTTGAAAGTGAAAGCAGGGCAGAGTTTTCATGTGAATTGTATATTTTGTAAAATAAATATGTAGAGTTAATTCTTTAAAGGTACACTATGTAACTTTTCTTGCAGAGGGTCCGTTGCCGGCTTTTCTTGTTATGTTATTGTTTGTCCTGTTGTTGCTTTTCTTGGGATCTTCCACAGCAAGGCATAAACTCTTCTGTCTCTATGGAGACACCACCAGGCCAAGTTAGGTTCAGGTCTGTAGAGAGTTGGCCTGCTCAGTTAATTCAATGTCATACTGTGGAACATTCCAGGCATAACAAAAGCACTGCCATTCAGAGACAAGAAGCTGGATAACTCCAACATACACTTTAAAGCTTTAAATGGTATAGGTCATGATTACAGGTAACTCAGAAGCGGTCATAACTCACCTGTCATTCACACAGAGGTGCGTGTTGCCCACCTGGACCACCACCAGGCCGCTGCCCTCTCTGTAGTGATATGTGAAGCTGTAGTGGCCTCCTGGCTCCCTGCTCTCCTGCACCACCAGTAACATGGCAGGACACTGTGGGGACACCAGCTGACTCAGGCTGCGGATCGGCTTTTTGGGCTTCTTTTCCTAAAACACATTCAAGGTTAATGTACACGTTATTGTCCCCGTCTGCACTACACTTTGGTGCCACTGGGACAACCTGCCAGTAATATGAGGAAGTGGGTGATGGTAGGTAACCTTGCACAGCAAGATCGAGTATTGCGATATTTGAGTTCGGAAATGAACAATAATCCATCTCGGAGTGTACCCTGTGCCCTGTTAAGTGGTTGGACCAATCAGAGAGCAGCAAGGCCAAGTGCCCAACAGACATCCTTCAGCCTATTTTAGCACCAATACAGACTTTTTTAGTTGTGAAAACTGATCAGAGGAAGTGCATTTGTGGACAATGGAAGATGTTTGCACTTTTCTCTCAACTGGACGTAATAAAAGTTAGATTTTTCGGCTTGTTCAACTGTTGTGATGCTTTGACCAATCAGATTCAAATAGTCATGGTGCTATCACTTTCAGCGAGAGCCGTTCCAGACTGATAATGTGTAGAACTCGTGAGCCAAGTTAGATGGCAAGACCCACAGACCTATCTCCAGATCTTGAGCTAGGTTTGTGGGTTATAGTGCAGAGACCTCTAGTACGGTACTCCACACTGACGCTCAGACCTGGACTTAATTAACACGAATCTTCCTAATCTAATGAAAATATTATGTGTATTATGTTATGCTGCATGGGCAAATATAAAAAATCTTACTCGCATTAATCGCATGAGTTCCTGTGACTAATCATGATTAATCACATGTTATATGCAAAACCAACTGATAAATTAAAAAAGCAGCATATAGCTCACTTTTATTGGAAATGTAAACAAAAGTGCCGTACATTAGTTGTGCAAACAGCATTTCTTTATACAGTAGCAGGGCACTAGTCTGTAAAGTCCATGTTTATACTTCTTCCTTTGGAGAATTTTACTCAAAAAAAGAACCAGTTTCAGTGCAGTTTGTCAATTCCTAGAATTTTACTTAATGAATTGAATTCAAAAGTAAAGTGCATGTGATCAGCTGCAAATAAAGTATTCAGTGTAAATCTTAACTGAAAAAATCTAATCAAACCAAATACAAAACTGAAATGTATTGCCACTGCCAGGGCTTTAATGTTATCCTGTTTGATATAAAAATGAGAACCTCAGTCAAAAACAGTAACCAGAAAATAGAACACATAACCAGAAAACACTTTCAGTGCAGTTTGTCAATTCCTAGAACTTTTTTTTAATTTATTTTTTTACTTTTCTGAGCAAGGCAAGTTGCTAAGACATACAAGAATATTAATATTAAGAATGCGATCACTGGCACCGGCTTCTCGGGGAAGAAAAGTAAGACTGGGGGTGGGGGGTTGCGACTAAGAACGATCAACCGCACGGTGATGCCCCTGCAAGAACTTGGTGCCCTACAGTATGCGCTGTGTGTTTATGTGCGTGTGTGGAGCGACGGCTCTGACATGTTGCATCTCACGTAGTCAACTGAAGCCTCGCTCCACTTGTTTCATTGAATGATTTGCCAGCATCAACTGAGTGTGTTGCATTTAGGTGATATTTCAGACTCATGAAACTTCAGTAATAAGACAGTTCAGCTTTGCAGTGTTACAAATGACTTTGGCTGTGTCGAATGCGCCCTCCAGACGAACTTTAAAATGAAAATGGCCATGTAAAAGTTCCTCACTCCTCTCCATGTGCTGGTTAATGTTAATGTGTTTTGTGTTAATGCCACACAAAACACATCTTCTATGGTGCATTCTTTTCCTGAAAATCACCTTTTTAGGTAATACACAAATATTAGCTGTAACCTTTTAGCAGAGACAATAATCATCTACATATCCACCTATATTGGATCAAAAATGAAAAGCATATTTCTTTGTGATAGATATGCCTGAGAATAAAATGATTCTCAGTACAAAAGGATTTTATGAACAACTATGTGGAAGTACTTATGAGATTAGATTTAGGATGCCAGAAGACAACATGTAATGATTAGCTTTGGTACAGAGATCACACCACAAGTAGCTTGCGGGGATCAGAAATAACTTGTGAGTCTAACCACCAAATTCCTTCACTCCCTTATCCTGGCTCTTGGCACCCTCGCCCCTCCCTCCTGCCCCAGAATGCCGTGTGAATGCCTCAGAGCTATACATGCCGCCATGTAGGGTTCAAAGGTCACCGCTAAGACTTCTCTCTCTCCTCAGACAAGTGGTTCAGACAGGATATAACCACGGAAACGCAGCCCAAGCCCTCCAAGATACGCAGACTAAAGAGCATCACTTCTTCCCTTTTCTGTTTTGGCTTAATATTGGACACAAGCCAACAGCCAGAGGAATGTATTTTTCATATTGTTTATTCACGCGATGGGATCAGATGTGGGTCTACCTGAGATACGTAAACAGGAAGTTTTCTTGGTTAACAAAAAAGAATGTAATGAATCCTGAAAGGTTCTATGGGGATTTTTGTAAGGCAATTCTTATATTCTCAATCATTTAGTTCTACCAAATTTGTTAACAGTGTTTTTTTTTTTTTCTCTCTCTGACTGATAATTTGCTTATTTGGTGAGTTTGCGTTATCAAACATCTGTAATCACAAATCCGAGTTTAAACTTTTGAGCACTTTTAGCTGTCATATTTAAGATAAGAGAGTCCTACCTTGCCTTTTTGTCACAATGTGGCAATGCAGATGAACAACATAGGCAACCAAAAATCAAGACAAAAATAAACATTTAATAACAAATAGGGCTGGGTATCATTAAGAAGCTGCTGATACGATACATACTTCGATACATAGGCCACGATACAATACATATTGCGATACAGTGCACTTTCGGTACGATATGATATATTTCAAATTGATTCGATACGGTTCAATAAAAATTAAGGCTAAATTATGGCTGTGATATTAAAAGTTAAACCACTTCTTGTGCAAAGTTAATATGAAACACACCCATTTTAATCATCAAAACAGTGAAAATGTCAATTGCGTTGCGTAAATGAGTTCCCTTTCTCCAAACAAGAAACAAAAGTGAAGCGCTGTAACAACATAATTTAGTAAAATATACCAAAAAATACTGATATGGTGACATATCAATACAGCAGCCCACAATATCTATACTGTATCATCACATTAAACGATACAATCTATTGATATTTCAATATTTTTCACCCCTAATAACAAAAGTCTTTAAAGCCCCACCGTGTAACTTTTTTGTTAAATTTTTTTCCATGGAATCATATAAGTCTCATGCCACCTCCAGAATTTAACACACTTAATCTCATTGTTTAACTAGAATATCTGAATATACTATAAATAAAATTAAGATACAAAAAGAAGGAAAAAGAGATAAAATATGATAAAAAGGCTACAATACTATTATAATGTCTATGACTGTGGTTTTGTATTTGCTCTGAGTCTGTCCCTAACCTGCAGACCCTGTGTTTTTAAAGGCAGAACAAACCTTTACTCTCCACATTTCCCCTCTAAGTGTGTGTGAAGCTTTTAGGTTGTCCCGGCTAAACTGCTTATTTAAAACCACTTCCTCCATTTATTGTCCTTTACCCCTCCCCTCTCTCCCCCTCTCCATCCCTCTCTCTTTGTTTCTCTTTCTCCTTCCCCTGTCCTCTGCTTTATTGATGCTCCCTAGCCACTATAGATCCTGGAGATTAGGTTGACCTGATGATGAAATATTTCCTTATTGTCTGCAACGTGGAGACCAAATGCGCTGTGGTCTGCTCCTTATTAGTGATCCGTCAGTTCCCAGGCCGCTCTGACCCGTGCGTTAACTCTTGATTAGGTCATACGATAAACATTAGGGCTGCTGTTTTTCCCACAAAGTCAGCACCTTAAAAAAGAAGACGTTTGTGCCCAGGGCTACTGCAACACGACACGGGGCACCATTCAAAGCACTAGCCGCGTGTGTCCTTTTTATGCCACCTCGTTAGCTTCTCCAAACAGGGATAAAAGAGCTACATTAAAAGGGGTATCCTTCGGGGATAGGTGCAGATAGCTTTACACATGCCGGCCTATTTCTCTAGATCAGCTTTTGTAGAACACATTCCAGCAGTGGTATGGTCCCAGCCTGTCAGATGACACAAACTTCATTATAGTATTCTTACTAAAACTTGCAAAGGACTTTACATGATGCATAGAGACTTACTAACTGTTTCTACTATGCACATAATAAAAGGAATGTGTGTTGTCAGTCAGTGAGACAATGGACAGAAGATGGAAGTTTATGCTGTGGTGTACGTTTCGTGTAATGGTTTTGTAGACAGCGAGTCATTAATATATTTGTTTGGTTAATTGCAATGTCTCTTTCAAGGCTTGTAATTGCACTGATCAGTCATAACATTTGTTCATCATGTGTTACCTGCAGCAGTTTTCTGTAGTTTTAGGCATTTTTTCAGCTTTTTCATCTCTGCATGTAACAATAATGAAGGGCAGTTAGTCGGGATTCACCAATACCCCTTTTTTCAGAGTATGAGGACTCCATTTTGAGTACTTGCTGATACAGATTACCGATACCAGAGATTAGGGGCTCTATTACATTGCTAAATCTAATTAATTTCATTGGATTTTTTTATAGTCTAGCCTACAATTTCACTGCAAGGGGCAGTTTTAAATTTCTACCAATATCACTTAAGTTACGGATAATTCCAGTAGTAATTTAGAAAAGTACCTGACTACTCACTTTGCACGAGCAAAGAATCACCAACAGCACCAACCCCTGTTAACCCATAAGTAGACACAAGCAGTGCTACTTTACTACCATAGTAAAGTATAAAGTATTGTAAATTATAAACACCTATGACTGCAAGTTGCAACACATTTTTAGCCTGTATCCTCATGGTCAGTATCATCATGAACTCATTTGCATCACCTCTCATCGGTTCATCTATTACTTCCTGAACCTCTTTCCCAAATGAAATTGTCCATAGCAAAACAGGGCACACCACAAGGTCTGTGTTTTGGAGATCTTCAGAACCAGTTAGCCATCCAACATTCTGACTGATTTATGCCTGATTTGTGTATGAGTGAAACCGTACCTTTATTAGGCTCTCCTGTAGTGCTGCCTGGAGAAGTGCCAGCTGTCTGTTCAGATGCACTATAGAAATCTCCTCCTTGAAAACTTCACAGTTGAGCTTAATCTTTTCCAAAAGGCGGACCTCCAGCTGTCTGAATGTAGAGACAATGTTGTTTCAGTGTAATCGCTCTCAGACCATATGCATTACATCTGATGTTTGGATTGGAGCTAATGAGGCACAGAAGTGCAATCATTTTTATGATTCATTATGCTACTAAATCACTCAAATCTTAACCACAAAATCATCTGTGAAGTACATATTACACTATATTACATATTTTAGGGCTGGGCAACATACATTTCATGTGTTCAATAATGAGTAAAAAATATTAAACTATTTCAAATCATCTGCTTTTTAAATTAGCAGTGAATAAAACAGGGACATCGTTCTTGCATTAAATGAGTCCAGCATAACAGCAAAACTGTCAATGAGGTTCAGTATAGTAGAACTTCCAGTCATTCTAGTTGTGTTATTTATGATGATGTCTAGAAATGGATACTTTCATCACTCGATAATAATCATTATAAAAATTCTGCAATATAAATGAAGCGTATGATTCTTATATAAAACTATGGAGCCCTGAAGATGTCGGAAAAGAAAATAATAAATTCTTATAAAATAAAAAATAAAATATATAGTATTTTGAGGGAACAAGATATGAACTAATATGACATTACAACATTATTTAATATGTCCCCTAAAGATATATATATATATATATATATATATATATATATATATATATATATATATATATTATTTTTTTTTTTTTTAAATTTTATAATTATCATTTTCCTTTCCGTCATCTGCAGGGCTCTATATAAAACACCTACTTCTTTTTGAACCCATTAGAGGTGTTCATGTTGTCTCTGAGCATCTGCAGAGTCAGTCGTTTGTCGTGCAGCCGTCCTGTGACCAGCTCCAGTCTCTGTCTGAGCTCCACAGACCCCAGCCTCTCCACTTCCACAGGCCCCTCCATGGTCTTCAGCTCCGAGCAGAATGCCACGAGACCCTGGTGCAACTCCTGGACCTAACACCAATCATTTACCCACAGTTATTTATATGTGACTATAACACCTTGTCAATCCTCAATCTAGTCTGATCTCTGAAGCTAAGCAGGGTTAGGCCTGGTTAGTATTTGAATGGGAAACTACACTGTTCCAATAACAGTTGGAACACTAAGGCAGCGGTGGTTCAAATGCATACTGTCATTGTGTCCTTAAGCAAAACACACCACCCTCTGTGCCAATGAATGTGGTTTGTGAGTGACTGGTGATGGCCGGGGTGATTGGTACTGACTGGTAACCTTGCTTCAGTCAATCTACCCCAGGGCAGTTGTAGTCTGCCCTGGGGTATGGAATAAATAAACACAAACAAATAAATACACAAAATTGAGTCCTGTTGAGTCTTTGAGCATTTTAAAAGCTCTATATAAGACTAATGCATTATTATTTAACTATATCATGTGTTGCAACACCACAATGATTCCTGTACCTGCAGAATAACATTTTGAAGTGAATCGACTTGTTGGTTTAGCTCCTTGATCCTCACGTCTTTCTCAGGTTGGTTTACTTGAAGAGGTGTGAGGGCTTGATGGCAGTTCATGCTGCTTGAGTCTGGATGGTGTCTTGGGGGGACTTTAGGTTTGTCCTAAAAGTAAAATATATTTACTGGTTTTACAATAGCAAAAGATCAGATTAAAGGTTCTATATTACACAAAATTTACTCCTGTGACCTTTAAGTCAATTTTATGAGTTAGGTACTATGTAAAAGATATTACACTATTTTCAGATATACATTATAATGTTCCTCATCAAAAACGTACGTGGAGTTGTGTTTTTTTTTAGCACATTATTATTTGTCTGTCTACATCTCCAAAGCTCAAAATGCTCTGTTCCACCTTGTGAGGTCATGAAGAGGTTTTTTTCAAATTAATATTTATGTTTGACAATTCCAGGGCTAAAATCATCCAAATGATTCTAGTGAAGGTGTATGGAGTTTAAAACACGACATCACACGGTAGGAACTAAGCCTACATATACTTTAAAATTGTTCACAGTACAAAATTCATAATAGACCATAAAACATGGGAATTGTAAAAATATGTTATGATATATATTTTTTTATAGAGAGGCAGTGTATATTGCCTTGGTATTTGTTACATTGTTTGAGTCCAAGTATAAGACAAAAATAATTTGTACCAGTTTACATAAATGCAGCTCCAGTTGCCTGTTATCTGCTCCTGGGAGACTTCCAACCTGTCGATCTGGTGAGAGCTCCTCAGATGAACCTTTAATGCAACCCATATGACTGTAAATAATATCTCTATGTTTTTATTCAAACAATGTAAATGACTTGTAAACTGCACCTTCTGTATGTTTGATGCTGAACAGGCTCCTGTCCTCTGTCATTCCCACCATCTTGAGACACGAGTCCACGATCTTTCCCACAGTGGTTTCCTTTGGCGTTCTCAGGTGAACTATCTGCTGTGAAACTGTCTCACAACATGATACAACAAGCACAAGAAATGACATGAATTATTGTATGTAGCTGTGGGCCTGGTGCTCAGATTGCTCAAACGCTTAAGGCTGGGTTTTAATAGGACTGTATCGGTTGCCCTACACTTCCTCCACCAGGGCATTGAGTTACTCACCATTTATGGCAATCTCTATGAACTGGGAGTTTCTTTGCACCGTGTAAGTTTGAGTGTTGTTCCTGTGGGTGAAAAGGTCAAAATTTTTAAGATTAAATAACCAATTTTTAGCTCAAAGTGCATGATGGATGTAATAGGAGATTTTACTTTAGTTTTAGAGATCTGCGATTCCTGGTCAGACAGCTCAGATGGGGTGACGAGGTTGATTTGCTCATTGAGGGAAAAGAAGCAGAGTGTAGGGGGCCATTATTGGACCGCAAAGGATCTGTGGGAATAGTATAAATGTGAATAAATAATATAGAGAATAAATAAGTACAATAATGATTTTGTTAAGTGGTCTAAAATTAAAATATATATTTGATATATTTTAAGATTTTTACCACTATTCATGTTCTGGGTACACTAAGTATCTTTTATTGCCTTAAAGAGGGGATCAAAGACATTTCATTCTGCTGAGGGTTCACACTTCACTGTGATTGGTTAAATCCACTTAGGATGTAGTGGGGCATGGTACATGGGGGTACGTCATCCACCCACTTTTCCCGACTTGATAAATAAAAAAATAACAAATATAAAATAGCTTCAACTTAAATGTCAAACCGGAGCTATTGGCAAAGATGAAAAAAACCTGCGTAGGCTCATGATATCTGCAGCACTGGCCTATAGTGACCTGCCACCTGAGGGGACCAGGACTGAACTAGGACCAGGAGTAAAACTGAACTAAACCAGGTCTAAACCAGGTCTAAAACAGGTCTAAACCAGGTCTAAACCAGGACTGAGTGCTGGGACAGGCCAGGAGCTGTGCCTGCGTAGACCGTCGGATGACAGCAGGCGAAGCAACAGTCCTAGTTTAGTCCCCAGGTTCAGTCCTGTTTTAGTCCTGGTTTAGAGCTAGTTCAGTCCTGGTTTAGTCCTGGTTTAGTCCTAGTTCAGACCTGGCTTAGTCCTTCTGGTTCAGTCCTGGTTTAGTCCTAGTTCAGACCTGGCTTAGTCCTTCTGGTTCAGTCCTGGTTTAGTCCTCCTGGTCCAGTCCTGGGTTAGTCCTCCTGGTTCAGCCCTGGGCACATGTGCTGTAGCCTATTCTATGTTCTGTAGGTGATTATGAACGGCGTTTATGTTAATAACATCAATGAGGTCACGAATCGATTACCCCCACTTGAAAATCCCCACTACACCATTGCTTTCCACTCACCAACAGCAGGCATGGGTGGTATTAAAGAAGACATATTGTGCTTAAGCTTGCTATATAGTTTCTGACACCTGTGGATCATTATTTTTGCACATTTTAAATTGCAATATTAATCTCAAATAACTTCCGCAACGCCCCAATCGAGCAGATGTTGCAGTAAATGTCATCACAACAAAGAGCTTTGAAGTTGTCGGCACCTCTGATGGACAGCTGCACTAAGAAGTCAATTTTGCATAATAGGTCGGCTTTAAACAGGCACGCACTGTGTTGTTGTCAGTGTAACATTAACGTAATCACCAAACTAGCACATCCAAAAATCACAGGGAATTCATCATTATTTGACACTGCCCAGCCCTTCTTCCTCCACAGAGTTCTTTGTACATGTACCAAAAGCGTTGTTGATCTTCTGGCTGATGTTGCTTGGATTGTCGAGCTCATTAAAGATGGCGGACAGTAGGTGCTCTCTGTCCTCCATCGTGGTGATCTGCAGTGACTCCAGGATGTTCATGTTAATAGAAGCCAGGTCCTCTCCACACAACTGGGCCTCTGCAACAAACACACCCATTTACCACAACACAGCAGCAAAGGTGTCAACTCTAATTTAGCATCAATGCTATCTCCTGTTGCTAACTTTGTATCTGATGTGTGGTGGAGATAATGGAAACAGGCCGTGTGTTTGCTTGTGTTATGTAGCCACAGGTTTACAAGAGCAGGGTTTTACCTCTGATTAAAGGGAGGCATTTCTGGAGTCCGATACTGGTGAACCACTGGCAGACTTCCTCCGTGTTCATCTCCCGTAGAGTTTTGGCCATGTTTATTTTCATGTTCTGGAAAAGAGGAGTAACCATGACATTTGTTTATGCATACACAAATCTGATTATAATCTGATTTCTGGACATTTAAGATTGCAAACCGCAAAACCTGATGCAAGTAATCAGAGGGACAATTATCAGAAAGAAATCCGGTTATTTTGTTGTTTACATCCCATTTTAATGAGATGAGATTTCTTATAAATCCAAAAAATGTGTAAATAATCAGATTCTGAGTGCGCATGCCACAGCCAATGCACCTTTACATGTATGATGTCAAGCCCATGTATCCATCTACATTTAGATTCACTTGTGTAGATTATTTTGTGTATTTTTATTTTTACTTAACCAGATAAAATGTTTGAGAACCATTTCTGATTCGCAAACATGACCTGCCCAAGGACTACAGAGAGAAATTAGCATCTTTTGGTGTAACCTGATACAAGGCATCTTTCCTTTTTAAGTCAAAGTAACATGGGACTGCCCACTTACAAATACAAAAACTATAAAGCATGTGTGACTTATCATTGTACTGACAGTTGTGTTTTTGACAGTTGTGGTTTGCGTTTAGAGCTGCATGGAGGTCTACATGTTATTGCAGGTTGTTTTGTGTACTGTTTCACAATGGAGGTTAGCAGAAAAGTGTCAATATGTTGTTTTTGTAGTCACATAAAAGTTATGACATTTTAAAAATATATATTATTGCAGTATTTTTTGGACTGTGTTTTTATTCTACTTAATAATTCTGTCAAAAAAGTTAATTTGATGATGTCCAAAATGTCACTCTTTACATAACTTTTTCATGTTATTCTATTCATACAACAGAACTACCCCCCTATGGGAAAGAAAGATTTTCACAATCAGCTCTGTCATCACAGTGTCACACATGGAAAATGATTCAGACTTTAATTAAAGAGAAGACAAAACATGGTCAAACATGGCCACTTTGTCATTGTCTGCATCTCTGGTTCATTTTAACACGTACCATGTTACCACCAATCACACATAAACAGGCGCTGTGTATGTTTAGCCATAAATAATCTTTTTGGAAAGGACAATAAAATGTTTGCTTATCTGAAACCATAAACATCGATTTCCGCGTAATTCCAGCCTTAGTCACTCTTGTTCTGTTTACCCTGCTCTTGGGAAGAAACTGCCACATTCCCAAAAAGATTCCCTTAAAAGGTGAGTGTGTTCTGATTAGCTTAGCTTGGCTCTGAATCAGGATTTCTCTCTGACAGTAAAACAACTATGAGAATGCCCCGAATGCTATCTCAGTTGACCATGACCACCTAAATAATCCATACTAGCTAATTTGAGGGCTCCGAGGGGCTTCCCAACATGAGACAATGCATAAATTACTCATTCGTAATAATAGGTTGCCAGATGAAAATAAAAGTCAGTAATGTATGTCGATATTAACTACAGACCATGAACGATTAACTTTAAAGAAACGTTTGGGTTTGTTGTTTAGCCAACACAAGGATCACTATGGATATGGGCAATCTAGCCTAGCAAATCCTGGACACAAAGATGAAATTCCTGCCACTATTTGCTTTGACAGATCAAGGGGATGCTGGGAAATATAAACAGATTGTATTCTGTAATTGCAGCAGCTCAGGGCAGTGTGCTGATGCCACCCTGAAGGCAGTACTTTGATGGTTTCACTACTGTACCTTCTCACTGTAGTTTCCATTGAGGGCGCTCAGAGGCAGATAGGACGCTGTATGGAAGCACAAAAACAAGCAATGAAGGCACTGTTTCTTTAAAGGTACTATATTACACAAAATTGTCTACTGTGGGCTTTTTACCATGATATAATGTTGTTATCTCATCAAAAACATACTAGGAGTTGTGTTTTATTCCACTCACACATGTTTGAGTAAGACTTTATTAGAAGACTTGTACATCTCCAGAGCTCAAAATGCTCTGTAGTTTAAGTAAATGGCTACCTTTTACCCTTTGTTCAGTAGATTTGCTAGTCAGGCTGGCTCAATTTCATTTCTCTCCAGTGACTAGGTCAGGAATCATAATAGTATTCTGATTCCTGACCTAGTGACTAGACGGTTTGCAAGAACCCAGGAAGTTGTAGACCTCGCACTGGCCAATCAGCAAAGAGCTGTGAAGCCATGATGTCAAACTCAAGCGCCTGTCTGGGTCCCTTTTGTGGTACAGCACAACAGTAAACAAAGCGGTCGAGATGGATGTAGACAAAGCCATACATTCTGGGTTGGCAACGATTCCCGAGATCGAGAATTTAAAGCCAGAACAAAGAGAAAGTTTGGTGAATTTTATCAAGGGGAAAGACGTTATTGCCTTTCTTTCTTCGGGATTTGGTGCATTACATACGTCACAACCAAATAGCAGAGATTGGTTAAATACAAAAAAGTACCCGCCTACCGTCGAGGTCAGTCATGAAACTGGCTGATGAATCAGGCTATAGATTTGCAATCCCACATCTGAAATTACCCAAATGATTCTAATGAAAGTCTATGAAGTTTAAAAACACAATGGAGCACTTCCTGTATTACAACATGACTTCACAAGTTGGTGTTTTAAGTTTGACAGCAGGAGAACTCACACCTACATATGCAGGGTTGTGTGCTACATGTGTGAATAAAACACAACTTCAGATATGTTTGTGATGAGGAAATATATGATCATAAAATAGTGCAACATGGGCCCTTTAAGGTAACATATAAGAATGTGTTTACTTTGTGTGGTAAAAAGAGGCAGACCTATCCTAGTTTATTTATACTATACAAGCGTATTTTGTGATGGTTCATACAACAACTGGCATGCCTGTTAAGAACACCATGTTCTAAGTGTCACTCACAATCCAAAATGTGCTAACATGTTTATACGGTTAGCATTATAAGAATAACAACATGTCCATAGTGTTTTGCTCATTTTCTGACAGTGTGAGGACTCCACCTCATCCAACACCCATCTTCTGGCAGACCAGAGAACTTTGGGGAAACTTCCTTATGTAGATTATAAAATCACAGAATGTGGTCAAACTAGTGTTATAATAAAATAATTTAAAGAGGTGACAGCAGTTCAGATGGTAAAGCATTTGTCCACTGATCCGAAGGTTGGTGGTTGGGATCCAGTTCTTAACATAAACAATGTTGGTTGAGTGGTCAAATCCCCTGACCCACAGGTTGGCTGGTGTGATTTCAGATCCCACAGATGAATGCTGCCGTTGTGTCCTTAGCCCACCTCACTCCCAGTGTGTGCATACACTGGTGTGTGAATGGGTGAGTGGTTCCTTGATGTAAAGCACTTGGAGCGCTTTGAAGGTTGAAAAACGCTGTTTAAAAATGTGACCATTTTACCAAGATTCACTATGTAGCTTTTTTAGGGTAGGATTTACTACCTGTAACCAAGGAGGTATTATTGTTTTGCCTATAATAGTCTGTACACTGTATGGCATTACATGTATCTGTCTTCATGGAGACAAGCAGATTAAGTTCAGATCAAATCTGTGGAGAGTTAGCCCGACTCACAGTAAAAATAATACATGTTTTTACAATGCACTTTTTCACACATCTGGAATTGAATAAAATATTGGTAATAGTGTGCAACATTGCTGGAAACACTCTGTGGAGACAAGCAGCTGGTGAACCCCTAAGCTGCAAAGTCATAGTGCACCCTTTAAGATACATATGTTATTTCATTGTTTCATATATAAAGTAGTGTAGATATACTGTATGACATCATACCTGCCTCGCCAACAGTTACTCGCCTTTGCCGTGGGGACTTGAGCTCGCGGGGTTTCTCTATGATTTGTGCAAACATCTGGAGACTGGGGCTTTTGCACAACATATCCCCGAAGCTGCGAGAGCGAGTGATCGGCCTCTGTCAGAAAAAAAGAAAAACAAACTCAAATCCGATTATTGTCACGATTGGACTGTAAATGTTTCGCAAATCAATTTAGACTCAGAAAGTACCTCTGCACTCATGTGTCAGTCTAAATCTGATAAAGGAGGAATGTGCAGTACTCTCTGTGGTGTTATGTTTACTTTCTTATAGGTCTATAAGTATAAGTAATTGACTTATGTAACTACAGTATAATCATACCCGTGGTTGAGTGAAAACGTCCATCTTGGAACTTTGACGAAATCTGCAAAATTCCGACTTAAGCATTTCAGGACAGCTCGGATCAGTTTGGCTCAGGTCATCTGTACAAAAAGAGAAACAGCATGTCCATAAATGCTCCAAATCAATTCAACACTGGTGCAAGTATAACATTTGTCAATAATGATTATATCTGTGTAGAGGAATGGAATGTTTACATATCTTTTATTTGTACATGAATATAGGTTTAAAGTGCATAATAGTTCTTAATAAGATGTGGTGGAACCTCTAACAGAAAAAAAAAAAGTTTTATTTTTTACTTAGATTAACAATCCTTCGTCAATGTTTTGATGATTAACATTACAAATTAAGGGTTAAAATGTAATCAATTTACCATGACAGCCAAGGTTGAAAAAAAAAAACACATTGAGTGGTTGACTGAGATATGTATTCCTGATTAAGATCCTGGCTCGAGTTCTAGAGATGATTATCAAGGCCCAGTTATAATGTGACAGGAACTACATAAATTCCACTGAAAATGACAATATATTGTTGTTGTGCCTTTAAGTTAAACACTAATCCCACAGTACAGGACTTCTGTACCCATTTCTACATAAAATGTAAGCATGAGTGAATAAGTGACATGTTTCTTTAGGAGAGGGTATCAATGAGTGAGTGTCTGAAGTAAATTATTATGTGTGCACTGCTGTATTTTATAGGTGAATAATATTTTGACACATTTTGTATATAATATGATCTTGTATGTTAAAAGCCTAGAGGGGAAAGAGCTGCAAATGAGTTCTGGCAAAGTGAAATATAATGCCAACAATGTACATACCTCATATAGTGTGTCTTATGTTTTTGCATTTGTCTCCATTCAAATAGACCAAATAAATAAATACTTGGTCAATTTGTTTGAAGGTTTGGGAGGTGCTGAAGTGACGGAATTCAAAGTAAAGACCAGATTTGGAGATCAGTTTGTCTCCCTCTGTCCTGCCCCTGGCTGCAGGTCACAGAGTGCATTCGTGCTGTTTTAGTCGCTGCTGCTGATACGGGACACACTACATGAGGTTGCCTAGTAACCTGTCAGATACACAAATGTCCGTCTGATCCATGACATACTTTTCTGACAACTTGAGCACTTTCCCACAGAAACGACATTTTCCTCCACTTTCCCAATGTCACTCTTTGGTCAGCAGCAGATATCCTTATTTCTGCTATCATAACAAGCAAGACAAATGGGGCTGAGAATGTGCCGTTTAGTTCAGCCATGCCACTCTCCTCTATGTGATTTTAATAGACGCTGGAATGTTTATACTTGTAACCCATAACTACATTAACTTTAATACGACCAGTGACTGAAGGATCTATGAGTCTTTTACTGTCCGACAACAGTGGCGTTCTCAAAACAGTTTACCTAACAGAAATATTCAGCCTAATTTAGACACATGTTTTTCATTTGAGGGCCCTGACTTTATGAAAGGCGGTTTTGACATGGATGGGAGTTAGATGGAGTCCGAATCAGATAAGACAGTGTAATTGGTTTATGTGTGTCAGCAGAGGAATCTCGTCTGGGTCTCACCACAGACAGTGAGGGGGGAGAGGAGGGAGGGAGAGGGGCAGAACAGCACCCTCTCCATCACCTGCCCCAGGACATACTCTGGACTGGATCAAAATGTCCTGATAGTCAAACACATCCAGGATATGTACTTTCTATGGTAATGTGAGTATAACCTCTTTCAGTGTAGTCGGTAGTAGTTTGAAGAATTAGTATGGCAGTAACTATGTACTTTAACTTGTAGTTTGTTTATGCTTCTGAAAATAAAACTTTCTGATAACTTTTTATTATACTAAGGTTAAGACATCCCATAATTGTTATTTGTATGTGTTTCTTGGTCTGCAGTAGTATATAATATTGTAGGTAGCAAAAGTAGTATGAAGTAGTGAAAATATTTGAGTGGGGATTGTTACAACCCAGCTCGCTTGGGGTGAGGGAAGTAATAAAAAAAAAAAAAAAAAAAAAAAAAACATGTTAAATGGAATAAATTAAATAATGTTTAATTAACAGGGTTGTAAAAAGTAAATTAACAAAACAGACTAAAATATAGAGAAAATACTGTAAACTAAGAAACAAAACAGCAGACGAGTTTTGCACCACAAAACGGGTCACGCAGGCTCACACAAACGAGTGGTTAACTAAGGGACACACACAAAACTAAAACACAAGTTCCCCAACTTAAACACATAAGCCCACAAACAGAATCAAGTGACCAAACAAAAAAAGGCACAAAACTAAACTAAACTAAACTAGACATACACACACAAACAAAAACACAAAATGGCAGACTGGACACCAAGGCCAACAGCCATGAACAGGTGTTGGCAATCTCCTTAAATAGGGGGAGGAGGCTAGAGGTGAGGCAGGATTGGCCAGGTGTAAAAGTACTCCACCAATCACGAACAAGGGCTCCCACAGCAGGATCCAGGACAGCCAGCAAATTAATTTAAAACACACAAAACAAACTGGAGGCCTGGGGCTCTAACAGGATGTATCAAATGTAATCCTGGGATGTGAAAGTAAAAAACAAACAAACAAAAAACAAAAGTATGAGGTAAAAGACCAATGCATGGTGTAATAGATGTCCCTATGGAAAGTATTTTAGTGAAGTACTTTTTGAGTGTACAGTACTGAGAGCAGAGGCAGCAGTCCTGTCTCCTTCACCTGTCTACTACGGTTTCTCTGCACAGGATCTAAAATGTCTTCAGTGCAGCCAAAAGCACTGAGTTAGACCAGTGTCAGTAGTTTATAAAAGACATGACGGAGGAGGCTCTATCTCTGACCTCAGACACAACACAGTGTCTTTGAAATCCTGAGAAAATCACTTCCAGCCTCCTCCTGTGAGACTGCTCTGCTGTTTATGACACAGGGACATAGTCTGAGAATGCTAATGTCCCACCACAGACAGGGCAGAGCGCTCAGAGCCATTGTCTTCCAGGAAAAGTCCAGAATAAAACAAGCATGTGTTTATGATGCTGTACTAATGTGAAATCATGGTCACAGTTGGGAGATGGACGTCAGTGCTCAGCAAACTGGACAAAAGTCAAATGATGAGTGAGTCATGATAAAACACAGTGTAGACTATAAATACTTCATAAGTAATGCCGTGCGGTGACAAAGAGCATAAACTCAATAGTAACTTCAACTAAACAATCATATCTATCCACTAAAGCTTTTTAAACAGTTTAAGATATTTACAGTACATAATTACCAAGACCATTTTAAGGATTTTATAATAATTAATTGGGGGTGATGTAATTCCTTTGGGCTTGTTAAAAGTAAAGCCCTGTTCTTTGGCATAAGAAGTCATTCTGTTTGCAAACTAAATAGAATGACTTTTCTATTTGACTTGACTAATGACTATCAATTGCACACATGCATAAAGCCAGGCTGGTGCATGACAGCTTTTGACAACTGCCCTCATGCACACACAGGATTATGAGCAAAATAAAAGCAGAGAAGCCAAAGATTTCAGCACATTTCTGTAACAGATACAAAAGTGATGTTATCATTTGCACTATTATTGTCCTGCGGCCATCTGAAAGGAGAGTACAGCTCTTTGAGAGATGTCCGAGGAGGGAGGAGAGCATGCTGACTCACAGGAACCCAAAACCTGGGAACCGCCTGCCCAGCCATGCTCTGGGAATACACTCACAATGGCTAAAAAGGGCGAGCAACAAAAGGGGAACTTCTGAGAGTCCCAGCGGAGGCGCTCAAGTACTGTAGCCATGTCACATAATGACTGCAATTTCATCTGAATGGAGCTCTGAGATCAAAACCAAGAGGCAATACATGAGCTCCAACAGCTGGATCAGGAAACCACCATCAATCGCCTTAACCCCACCTGGACCTGTCTTAAACAGGACAATGGCTCACTGAAGAAAAGACTCCATTTGGGCTTAGCAAATAACTCATGATAAATGGAGAGTTGACATGTGACATAAAGAGTCAAGAGAACGATATTTCCATACTAAAGGATTCAGTATGCTGGACCTTGCCAAAAAATTCAGTAAGTTTTGGTTCAGTTATAAAGACATGCTTGTGAAACCACCGTAGTGCATACTGTATATCACATGCAAAAATGATGTGCTTCAGAGAAATAAAAATACTGGTATTTGGAAACTAAAAACAGCAGAGACAGGGAGCTGCTGGTATCCGTATATCCAAGGGTGCTCATGAAAAATGGTACATTTAATCGAGAGAAAAAGACAAATAAGGCAGTCACTCAGGCACTCACTTAGAAAATATTTAAAAGCTTTTATTGTAAGAGAGCAGAAAACACTGATGCGTGTACTGGTATTTGGTTTCAGTAGTTGGTTAAAATAACTTTCTAAGAATTACTTTTTGGTCACAAAGCAATATATATTTTGGCTAGATCTGATACTTATTGTATATGAAAATATTTCTTTTTTTACCTCCATAAAAAATGGTCAGAACTCAATGAAAAGTATTAGGACATGCTAGCTCTAAAGACAATTATCTAAGATGGAAATGGTATGGTTACAAATGTATTGTTTATTTACTGACTTTTATTTAGTGGTAGGGGAAGCAATGACAAAGCAGGAACGTGCAAACCTCATTTGGGAAGTGAATCCAGGACTTCCTTTGTGCAATGTTGGGTAATAAATATTATAAAATATGACCAAATATGACAGTAAGATAGTTGTAAGATCTGACTTGCCAGGTTGTGTTTTATGTTTTCAGTAAATAAGTGCGTTGTACTTTACCAAGAACTGTAGAGGGCATGACGGCAGAACACTCACTTGTTTGTGTGAACACAGGAAGTTGAGTCATCAAGTATCCACTTCTCAGTAACCTGGGCTTCGGCTTCTTCTTCTCCTCTTTGGTCACCACCACAACCTTTTTCTTTTCATCCAGCTCCTTAACCTTATCCTCTTCTTCACACTCTTCAGTTTCACCGCCATTCTCTCTGTTCTGTGTCATTGTCCCTCCTTCTATTGGTTCAACATCTTTCACCTCTTCTTGACAGTCCTCTTTTCCATCATTATCCGTAATCTCTGCTACAACGTCTTCCAATGTCACGTCAAAAAACTGCTCATCCTCCACCACATCGGAGGGCGTAGCTGGAATCAAGTTTATGGAAGGTGCTTGAGTCTCATCGTCAAACAACAACTCTTCTTCCTCATCATCATCTCCGCTGATAAAAGTTATAGCCAGTTCAGGCTGTAACACTGTTGGGAGTGAAGATAGTGGCTGGAGCTTCTTTTTTTGCTGATACCTGAGGCATTGAGACACGGAGCTAGCAGAACGGGTCAAAGGTTCTTCTTCGAACAGGCTGAACGCGCTGTTAACTATCCCGATATCTTCCGTTGCAGTCTGCTCAGCTTCCATCGCACCTGGTCCATCCAAGTTTAGCTTCTGGGGGCTGCCATTAATCTTATCCTCCAAAAGACCCATCTCCTGTTTTCTTTGCACACAGCAACATAACTTCAACCAACTCCATCTGCGCCTAAAACATCCAGGTTCCTCCTCGTTCTTGTTTTCCATTGCACCTCTAGCCTCACAAGCTCGTACTGGCCATTCTTTACATCCAAACCCCTTGTGCAAAATTATCAACAACCATGTCTGGTGAAAAAAACACAGCGTACTACAGGGATAGTTTGTTGCTAAGGAGAGCATTGCCTAAACAGTGTATTCTATTTGGTGCATCGTGGGTCAGGTGAACACTTGAAATGAAAGCTGGGTTGAATCAATGGTCTTTGATATGCTAACCAGTAGCATTGTGCACACAGCTCCAGTTTCAAAGGGACTGTACTGCAACAACAGGACAGTATTTCAAATCTTAGCCAAAGGGAGGTAATAATTGTACCATGTATGTATAAATAAGATTAGCGTGTTTTTGTCAAGTCACCCATATTCACATTTGAACATGCACAGAATTATAAAATATCAAGAATAGATTTTACTTATTAAGCATTTTTCATTTTCATTAACTCTCAGAGTGACACTGAGTAAAAGTGATTTGAATGTCTATCCATCCATTTATTTCCACTTCTCCGAGGCTTAGTCGCAGGGGCAGGAGTTTAAGCAAGGACTCCTAGACTTCCCTCACCCCGGACATTTTCTCCAGCTCTTCCGGGGGGACCCCAAGGCATTCCAGGCCACCTGAGAGACATAGTCCCTCCAGCGTGCCCTGGGTCTTCCTCTGAGCCTCCTCCCGGTGCGACATGCCTAGAACCTCTCTCCAGGACGGCGCACAGAAGGCATCTGGAGCAGATGCTTACGCCACCTCAGCTGGTTCCTCTCTATGTGGAGGAGCAGCGGCTCTACTCCAAGCTCTTCCTGTGTCACTGAGCTCCTCACCCTATCTCTAAGGGAGTGCCTAGCCACCCTGCAAAGGAAACTCATTTCAACCTCTTGTATCCGTGATCTTGTCCTTTCGGTCATTGATTACAATTTCTCAAATAAAATATCACCTCACCTCAGATTAGCAGAGTTTAGTGTTTCGTTCATTGATTTTCTGCAAAAATCTGCAATGTTTTTCAGCCCCCTGCAATATTTTCTTTCATTTATTTATGTATTTTTTTTCTACTACAGACGATGCATATCCCTGATGGGCTAATGCACCTGTCAATCAAGACCATCTAAAAACGTTGACATTCACTAGTGACCAGACTCACATTTTTGTAATGCGTTGTGTGTTTACATGTGTGTACGTGTGTATTCTGGATCCCAACCAACTCCTGACACTGACACTGAGGAATGAGTCAAATGCAGCTATAGATTTGTTAAGGGAGTTGAACAGATTTATCAGTAAATTGCAGTTATTTTTCGGTTTATATAATAAGTCCGTTTTGTATTTTGCCCAGGTACCTCACATGTGAGTATGTGGGCGGATGGATGCCTGGCTTCCACACACAGCCCCTATGGCGTCAGGTGACATTTCTCTGCACAGGCCCTGTCCTGTTGTCCATGAGAAGTCATCCAGCCTCATCTCAAAACCATTATTATGGCACACCACCCACACTGAGGCTGGATGAAAAGATGATATCTGCCTTTGCTTCTCACGCCCCAAAAGTGACAGTGATGGGAACAATTACAGTAATGCTTCATTGCCAGGAGTGAAAAGAAGAACCCGAATACTGCTACCTGCAAGTGAAACATTTGGCTCACAGTATGCAATGAAATACTTTACTGTACAATAGTAAAAATGAAGTATTCAATTTTGGTAGAGATCAGAAAGGGATAGTTACAAATCCAATGGTAAATTTCGGATATGGATCAAAATTGCACTAACTTCACCCACAATTGATTCTGTAACTCTGTAAAATATGGGAGGGGATAGGCATGTTTTCAAGTCAGATTGGTGGAAAAATTACCTTGGAGTTGAGTTTTTTGTAACAAAACACCTGAACATAAGTTATGCATGATAAATAAGCTTAATGCCATATTGTGGAAGCAGGCAAAGCAATAAAATCTCCACAGATTTCTCTCACTGCCCACTCACCAGAAGAGAAACACAGTGCACCCAAGATACAATTGTTTACAGTGAGATTTCCTATATGATATGTAGACATGTAAATCCCTCTATCAAAAGATTTACGCTGCACTAAACATTTTATCAGCTTGTTTCATTAACACTTTGCTTCACTATATTCACTCCATTTATTTGGAAAATTAACCCTACCACAAGCATAGCTCTTATAAAGATTTTAACAACACTGACCATTTTCCCAAATAAAGACTGACCTCAGACATTATAAATATGCTCAAATGGGGCACAAGTGCTGTTTATGACACAAACCATACAGCTTATAAACATGATATAATATGCTATTTCATTTATATGTACATGCAGAATCACTTTAATCTTGGGTAGTGTTTATTAGAGATTTAATTAGGCAAAAACTTTGCAGTGTACTTTGTACTATTATTTGTACTATAGCATTAATTAAGAATAAGTATTCAAACCTAGCAGTCATTACATTATAAGATGACTAATATGACCTTAAAGTACTGCTTTTGTGGCAGGTCCATCCTTGTCTATTTTGTATTGATTTCAAGAGCAGGAAGCTTCTGCCAATTGCTCTTTGAATAGTTTTAAGGTCATGCTGTATTTAAATTTTTTTTTGGAATATATGTAGGATCTGCTCTTAAAGGTACACAATATAACTTTTGTTTTGTTTTTTTTTTTTTCTGGTGGAGAGTCCGATACCTGCTTGTCTTTATGGAGAGTTACTGAGTTGTGTGGAATGTTCCACAATATGAGATGTAACATACCTATCTCATTGGAGACAAAAAGGTAAAGCCACTAGGTAAAGTCAGAGCAGTGGAGAGCTTGCTCAAATTAAGAATGAAATCAAGGTATCTTAGAGAAATGAAAGCACCTGCAATAGAATAAATACAACATGCGAAGTTTAATGCCATACTGTGGAACTTTTCTGGTAAAGCAACATCATCACGATGGAGACAAGAATGTGGCAAACCTTCCTTCACAAAAAGGACATAGTGCACCTTGAAAACACTTCCTTTCAGTTCATATATCTGTTTCTTCTTCCACCTCTGGCATTCACTCTCCCTAAATGTCACTCACTAAATAAGATACTTCTGTATTATCCACAGCTGCAAACCATTCAGAGATCTCCATTCAAGACAAAGTGTATGTAAATGTGAAGTTAGCGCATTCTTTTATCATACACCTAAAACATGTGCATGTGGTTTAACACTGTACAGTGCAGCAGGGGAGTTGTCTTCATTCAAGCAGGGTCTTAATAATGGGGCCATTACAACGTGTCTGCCAATAGAGGGCAGTAGAGAGCAACCACGCAGCACTGCCAGGACATAAAGCAGAGCCCAGCCACCACTTGTTTTTGCTCTCACAAGTCAGGAGAAAGTTACACCACACACAAGTGCTTTTCATTCGCAGCACAATGAGACAGACTTTTGTGATATCTTGATATACTATTTGCAAGCATATCAAGTGTTTCTCTATTACCATTTTGCATATTGTTTTAATAAGAAGTCCCCTGTTCTTGTCAAGGGTTATGCTTGAAATTAGCAGGACATATGCACTACACTAGAGGGTTTAAAGGAAAGTGCTTGCCTTTGATACATCTGAAAATACAGTGTAAGAAACAGGGCAGACAAAGATGAATCCTTCACAGCTGCCATAGCCGGGAGCCATCTTGGGGAAAAATTACTTTGAAAGGCACATTAGTGTACACTCTGTGGCAGGGTATAAATTCTCACCAGTGTAATGGTTTCTTCGCTTGTAGGTGGATTTTCTCTGTACCTTGTTGCGTCACTAGCAGTCTCTACATGTCTGGGCATAGACCTGGGAGCTACTGAGCATGCTCTGTGCTCTGCATTCAACCATAATGAACCCTGTTACATCTAAATTAACTTTGCTTTAATGATTGTCTCTACACTTTTTTTTTTTTTTTCAACTTCAGTAATATAATATTTGAGTTGGAATAATTGAGAACAGTTTTCAACTGTGCAGAATCCATTTTGCGAAGAAAGTGACAAGGTCTGCTACTTAGTTTTTCTTTAACCTTTAATTAGTACTTTTTATATATTTTATATTTTTTTAATATTTTGTCTCTGATCTTCAGACATGAAACTATATCAGCAATTTCCGACCAAAGACTTTTCTTTGAACTTTGCTATATTTCGATTGAGTGTAGTACAAGTAGTCTACATGTAACTGGTCCAATTGGCTAAGACATGTATATTATGGACAGCTCAGCAGTGGTTGAGTGGTGAACATCAAAACCAGACCTCAGCATGCTCTTTCTCTTTCTCTGTCTCTCTCTGCCTCTGTCTCTCTCTCTCTCTCTCTCTTTTAAAAGCCTCACCTCGCGGTCTGTGGCAGAACTGTGAAACATGTCCAACATTTCCTGTCACAGCATCTTAAAGGTCACCTATTGTGTATCTCAGCTTTTCCTTTGCACAGTCAAAAGTTCAATACTCTGTATTTGGTTGGCTAAAATGTCAGAGTCTAGAAGCCCAGAGAATGGTGCCTTATGAAGAATTTTTAGATTTTAGACTTTGTCAATACAGTTTAAAAAGCTGTGGCAAGATGGAAGTGGGTAAGTAACTCATTCTCATCAGTATCATATCTCCTCATATTATGTATTTAGATTTTTTTCACCATAATTAAATATAATACATATTTTGAAAACATCTAATGAATAAAGGAAGCCAGCATGATTTGATGATCATCGTTTTGACTTGTGGTCTAATCTACTATTGACTATTAAACAGACCACCATACTTACAAAAATGATTGTGACTTATATTATCACATTATAACTTTGTCTTCGGACAGAGAGAAGGGTCCTGGGAAAATAAGAAAGCCAAGACTGAGTTGTTATGTAGGCAATGTTCTTGGGTTGCGACCTCAACAATTGTACAAATGCAAAAATGACCAAAATGAAATTACAAAAGAAGACAAC